CCCCAAAACCCCAAAACCCCAAAACCCCAAAACCCCTATTTTAAATTAATTCATTGAAGATGGCTATAATCATTTTTATCAATGGCAGACAGCGAAAACGCATTGGCTATTCCACAAGATCAGGCATTCAAGATGCCTCAGTTCGGAAGCAGAGTTGAGTATCTTAAGGCTGAACTTGAGAAATTGAACAGTAAAGAAAATATTAGTGTCATTAAGAACACAGAAATTGAAGCAACGAAATTTATTCATAAGATGGCTGATTGAATTAGTGAAGGAACAGCTACTGTCAGTACAAATCAACAAGATATCACTGGTATGATTATTTAGTAACATCTTCAGAATTCATTGCTGCAGAGCATGCCAAGATCAAGCAGAAAGAGCTCAAGGGCAAGCTTACTAAGATGGCAGTAGTAGACAACATCTACAGCTACAAGGAAGCCATGTCTAAGATAGACTATCTTGATAAGAATCTAGAAGTTCTAAAGAGTAACTTTTGAATAATCTTTAGCCTCTGAGAAGACTAAAATTGACAATTCTATGTCTGAAAACCCTTCTGTTAATTCAAATATGAAGATTAAGGAACTAGAGTCTGAACTAGGTGTACAATTGATTGAAGGAGAACAGAATGTAGCAACCTTAAAGGACCCAATGAGAGAGACTAAGAATACCTTTATGAAGAATAAGAAGCAAGCTGAAGAGTTTGTGAATAAAATCAAGAATGAGAAGAAAGAGTTGAAAAATAAGTTGAGGAGCAAACAGCAAAAAGAGTTAGAGAAATATAAGCAGCTAGAAGAATCTCGTAAAAATGCTGCTACCATACGAGCTGAGAAATTGAAGGCTGAAAAGGAAAAGCGCAGACAGGATCACCTCAAGCGAAAGGAAGAAGAGAAGCTAATTCAAATTGAGCGTGAGAAGGAATGGAAAAAGCTTCAAAGTAAGATCAAGAATACTAAGTACATGCATGAAAAGCTTGAAGAGGAGTATCAGCAGAATGTCCTCATGCCTGAGTTAGAGAAAAAAAAGAATGAACTCAAAGAGAAGCGGGACTTTTATAAGCCAATAGATCGAAAGGAAATAGATGAGTTCCAAAAGCAATACGAAGAGAATATTAAACTCAAGAATGAAGAAAAGAGACATAAGAGAGAACAATGGTATAGTGATATTGGAGGAGACAATTTTGATCCCAACAGACTCAAGACAAAGATCTATGACAAGGTGATGGAAGAGGACAAGGGCAACCAGGACATGAGGAGTAAGAAGATTGAAGATAGGACGAGGAGACAAGAGAAAATGAATAATTATGCTAGAATAGTCAAAGAAATGCACTGGCCTACTGTCTCTCATAAGAAGAAACAAGAGATAGAGCAGATTAAAAATTTATTAGGACAAAGAAACCAAAGAAAGTCAGCTCCTCCGAATAAAAGGTTTGGAGCACAGAAACCCAACGAGAGTGGGTTTGCTTCAGATAGTAATGCTGGACATGCTAGACCTAACTGGAAGAAATTCCATAACCCAATGATCCCAAAGCCAAAGATGAAGAGAGAACCCGTCGTAGTTGATTATCTAAGAGAAATCAGAGTGAAGAGAGAAGAGAATGATTCGAAATCTAAAAATACAACTGCTTTTGATTCAGAAGGAATGGGGAAAGTAAATATGTCAATGTTCAAGGTAAACCTCAGTCCATATTTTTAAAGCCCTAAAGTATCCTTTTCCATTAAATTCTATCGCTCACCAACCTTCTAGGATCAAAATATTGATGATAAGACCAAAGTTGAGCTACTAAAAGCCAGGACTAAATTGATCGAAGAGAACGCTATGAGAAAAGAACAGATGAACAAAATAAACGGGGACACAATAGAGGATAATGCAGATATCAACGATATGCTGATCGATGCTATAGAGATGAAGCTCTCTATCCTGGACCAGATTGATTAATATAAGCCATTAAGTATAATTTTGACCTTCAAATCCTTCATAGCTGTAGGGGTTTTGGGGTTTTGGGGTTTTGGGGTTTTGGGG